GAAGGGTTGAATATATTGACACAATATAATAATAACAACAACAACAACCGTAATAATTACAATGACACTTAGTAGGAATGAATGACTATGATTATTCTAACTATGAATACATCTAGCTGCCAGCATCAATTATTGGGGTCCAAGCAAAAAAAGTAATTTCTGGAGAAAATGACAAAATATTGACAAAAATAGACTAATTTTAAATAAGGGTATTAAAATAAAAAATAAAATCTTGATTGTATTTTGCATAGCTTTATTTTCTTCTTCTTCAAATATAACATCCCCTGACATTGGAAAATTCTGAAATTGAATGTGTCCTCACATTTATAATAATATATGTGTGTTTGCGTGTACACCCACTCACCCACCAACCCCCACACACAAACACTCACACTCACACACAGACACACACACACATACATTAATATGCTTAAATATTGCTCTTGATGGCCATTCTGTTTGATGTGCAAGCAGCTACCAGATTGATTAGAGATTGCTAACTTCCTTGACTAAAGTGCATGAAAGTTAGCGTATGGCTGACTAACACCAGATGGAGATGCATTGGTATCTACTGCTATTTCTGCAGTTACTTGCTATACAATGCTTAAATACAGCCCCCAAAAATGCAATACAATCAAATACAATCTGCTCAAATGCAAGCACTGTTAATGCAACGCTTTTTTCTTTTTTCTCAAATTAGTGCAATTTGAAAAGGCTTTGTTTCATTTATACATAGAGTCTAGACATATTTTATTAATTTACCTCTATAAAACCTTCGCAGACAACTATTTTTAATTGTATCTCCCCCTATGGCCATAAGTAGAAAAAAAATCACATGCAATATCCTGGTTTTGGATAGTCCAGTTTCATGATTGTTAGAATTTTAGAAGATATATGTTAAGAAGTAAATATGGGCTACACCCAAATATACTAGCTTGTGTCTTTAAACTGCTTTGAAAATAATCTTTTTACAACGTTTTAGAATATGATGATACATAGCAAAATGTCATGTAAATTAGACTAACAGTAATAAGCTTTTTAAGTTTGAAAAAGCTTTTTTTTCCCAGAAAAAAAAAATAGTGGAGAGCACAAGTTTAAGAATTTGCAAAAACATAACATTACATAAAATATGCTAATTGTGTAAAATTGTCTGTTTGCCTGTGAATTGGTTGAAATTTTGGACCATCCAACCTGGGGGGCCCATCTCGAGTCTTTGTAATTTAGGTTCTCTGATGTCCAAATAATAATGTGTAATAGAATAATATGCAAGTATAATAAAATGCTCATTAAAACAAATGCATATTAACATAAGTATACAAATGAAAGGAAAATATGAAAGAAGTAATGAATATTGAACAATAATGAATATCTATTTATAATAGATAAACACAATAACAAGATAATAAAAGTAATTTTATTCTATTTTAAGTAACTTTATTACCAGTGAGAAATAACTTCAGGGACCTTCAACCCAGCAAGATGATATTATATTAGTCTATGAGGGTGTTCATTATATGAGGGTGTGTGAGATGCTGGTCATGGTCACAATCCATCTAAATGGATCTCATTTTCGATCATCAAAATGAACAATATGTGACCCTGGATCACAAAACCAGTCACATGTCTCACAGGTATATTTGTGGCAAAAGCAAAAAAAATACATTCTATGGGTCAAAAAAATTATTAAGTAAAGATCAAGTTCCATGAATATATTTTGTAAATTTCCTACCATATTAAAAAAAAAAAAATATATATATATATATATATATATATATTTGAGAGTGGATGCAGCAAAATCACTAACATATATGGACAATTTTCTTAATGTTTCGATTTTTTTGCACCCTCATATTTTAAATAGTTGTAACCCGGCCAAATATTGTCCTAACCAACCATAACAATGAAAATCTTATTTATTCAAGTTTCAGATGATGTATACAGCTCATTTTCAAAAATTTGACCTGTGTGACTGGTTTTGTGATCCAGGGTCACATTTATGACCATTTTATAGAAGATATTGCAAATTTATTGGCATACACATTGTCTCCAGTCTAGCATTTATAATAAATGATGATGAATTCCTTTGTATCATATGATGGAGTGGCTTGTTACAGACCTGTTAAAAGCTCTGATAGAGGACAGAGACTTTGTCCCAGTTTGTCTCAGTCAGCACGTTAGAGTAAGTCTGTCTCCCCATCTGTGTCCATGCACATCTGCTGCAGGCTCCTCCCCTCATTTGCTTCATAGACGATAAATCCTCATTTGCGTTTGTTGTACAATACTTCTGTAGTTGCAGTCTGCTGGTTATGCTTATCTATAAAGAACAGCAATCCACAGTGTGTAGAAAACAAAGATGAAAGAACCTCATTGGAGGGAACTGCGTGCAGACTTGATGTAGTGGAATGACCTTGGATGAAACTCATTACTGGTATATGAATGATGGTTTGTTCTTGTCTGGAAAATGCACATGTTAAAATTGCGAAGTAAACAACATTCATAAGGGCCAAGAATGACTTAATAGATACGGAATACTCTGTTATTAAATGACTGTATTGAATGTCATTATAATAAATGTGAAGTTTCCAGGTCTTCCATCATGAAGGTCAGAGGATGTAGCAATTTAGCAGTTAAACTAGACTCACTATATGGAAAATAAAAATTAAGTGCTGATTTCAAAGGTCGCTTCTTATGGGATCAGATTTTAAACTACACTCACCATATAATACTGTGTTTGACCCCCTTTCGCCTTCAGAACTGCCTTAATTCTACGTGGCATTGATTCAACAATGTGCTCAAAGCATTCTTTAGAAATGTTGGTGCATATTGATAGGATAGCATCTTGCAGTTGATGGAGATTTGTGGATTTAGAGAACAGAAAACCTAATTTTAAATGGCCATGAATGGTGAAAAAGGCTGAACCTGATGATGTAGTTACATTATGAACCACAGTATGACACTTTGTGCAAACCTACACTTCAGGTTACCAGCAGTGAGTTTCAGCAATCCCACCATCTGTATTTTGTAATTGGAGAATTCAAATAGTTGGTCTGACATTATATAAAGCAGTGACTTTCTTGTCCTCCATGTTGTCCCTGAAGTGGTGTCCAGTGGCTTTGCTTTATTGAGATTCCTATGTCGTTGAGTTACGGCTCTATTAGGCGTAAAGAGGAGGTGATGGACTGTGACAGGACTGAGGAAAAGCAGTCAGTGGGTCATTTCACACCTCTAATGATATTGTGCTGTGCTTCTGTGCTCCCTAAATGTCCCTCATGGGCCTCTGCATATAACAATTTAATTTATTCAGATTTCTAGACAGTTTATGTGTTCAGGTATCATTTAATCTTACACATATGCCCACGTTACTTCAGGTCTGCTCACCTAAAACTCTTTGAATAAGACCTATTAAACATGCATTTATAGACTCCAGACATGGGCCTCAAGTCAACAATAATTGCAAACATCAAATGAGTAAAAAATGACCTCACCCAACAAATAACTAACATAGATGAACAAAAACAACATTAGCAACAGCAGCATAAAGACAGCAAGCAGCAAAACAATACTTGATCACTAACTGCATTATTTATGCATAAATGCATGCTGGGAGCTGACAAACACTGAACAAATCAACAACATTTCTCAATTTGAATTTATGAAACTGCTTGTTCAGACCACTCGAGTTGGCATTACATGTAGGGGATTTTTTTTTTTTTAGTAGACTCAAATTAATTTACACAGATTATGTAATGATTTTTCCCCCCATACTTGTTTAATGCAAATAAAAGATGCAGCTGGTATATATTCAGGTCCCATGTTAAATTTACTCAAATATTACTATCATTACTAAAATTGCAAATCAGAAAGAGGACAACACGTGTTACACGACCTAAACTGTTTCATTTTCATTTTTGTTCAATCCCTCACTGTCCTCACTGTCATATCAGATGAAGCAGAAATGTTTGGATGAACATGTTGATCACTTCTCCACAATGAAACCAGAGAGCACAAGGAATTCAGGATGGGTGTGCAACTAATCAATGGACCCTTTAGTCAATTACATGGAATCCTCTGTGTATTAAATATAGAGGAGAGTTTCACAAGTCTACCTTCATTAATCATTAGCCATTATAGATACCATCACCAGTTCAGAAATGTTAGGCTTATGGGTAAAGAGCAAGAAATGGCCCTGACAAAAGCATTGCTATAAGTAAAAAGATTAATGCTCGTATAGGTAAGAAGTGACAAACTGTATTATGAACCAACCAATAAATGAGCAAACAGTTATTCTAATGTTTATATTCAACAGTATGGGTCACCAGTGTAATGTCTTTAAAAAGTCGCCATATTTTCTGACAAATAACAATAAAAAAATGCAAGACAAATATTTCACACTATAATAGAAGCAAATAAACTTAAAAAAATACATTTTTACAATTTGAATTAAAACAATCTGTAGTATATATACTTATGAGGGAAGAATAAAAAACTAAACTTGATTAAAGTATTTATCTGACAAAATCATTAACAACAACAGGTTTAATTTTACTATACAAACTGACATTTACTACAACATAATCAGTTATTAATATTTTACTGATTCTCTCATTTCTTTGACCGCCTGGTCTTAAAGGATCACACAGTTTGGCATGCGTCATTGAATTACCACAATAAAACGAACTACAGAATATTCTTAGAAAATCAAACACGTTTTTAATATTTAAATAAAGGTTAAAGATGTCAATTTTCTTTGGCTGGACATCAGTTTTGGCCGCTATTGTTTACACAAATGTTTTTAAGTATACGTATCTATTTTTTTTAAAGACCTACATCACATATCTAATGCAGTAGGTACATTTTATTTTAATATAAACTTAATTTAAAAGTCTGCAGTACACCAGTGGAATGCCCTTTCAAAAATGCCTGCTTGAGGATATGTTTTTTATGTCAGCACTATTGATTTTCACTGAATCTGTTGTAAATCATAACTCTGGTAAACAGGCAAAAGTTAAAAAATAACTTGCATTTTATTGGCATATCATAAGGATGAAACAAACGAGTCTGCGGGGCCTAACTTTTATCAAAACCATTACCTCATCATGTGAATGAACTGAAGTGTTTCACATTATTTTACTGATTTTTGCACAGTCACCGCTCTCCATCCTATGCCAAGTTGGGCCGGCATTTTTGAGGAATGAGAACTCCGCTCATCTGTATCAAAATCAGTATGAAAACACAATCAGCATTGTGCAATGAGGGCTGAAGATAGCAGCATATCCCATCTGTCTGTGTGTATTTGTTCTTACACATAAATGGCTTTTAGAAGGCAGAAGAAATGGATTGTATCAGCCGGAAGCTTGATTGTAACCACTGAAGTTTGCAGCAAACTGTAGTTTTTGTTAGAATGCATGAAAGTTACAGAAATTATTCTTTAGGATGCCTGCTTGTTGAATTGTCATTTTCTTTGCAGGAACTAACAGACAAAATGAAGGCCTTTATAGAGAAATATGAGCAAAATGCTGATGGCAAAATAGGTATCATTGAGGTAAGGAAACTAAAAACGTATGCTATTTTAATTTTTTTAATTTGAATGATTTAATGAGATCTTTTGACTGTTTAAATATGTGACAATATTGTTTGTCAGTCACGGACACGGACTGTGATGATTCGGCTCCAAAAAAAATGAGAAAGGTCTGTCATGTTGACATTGCAGTATGAGCTTAACGTTGCTCTGTGTTGATTTACCGGAGATCAAAAATGTTTGTTCGTTTTTATTATTGTGAGCCACATTTGACCATTAAAACATCAATTGTAAAAACAGAATTGTTTGTTCACATTGTCAAATCTGTAACCTGTTCAAAACGGTGAAAGCATGTGGATTTACACCAATCAGTGCAGCTGTCAGTGGTTATCTCTGATCCTGCAGCCTTTGACTCTTCATAAACTGACATTCCTTTTCCTTCATAGATGACACTGTCAACTAGTCTTTTCCTAGGAATTTATGCACATTACATTAATCAAAAACTTTTTCTTTACGTCTTTCACAGCTGGTTCAAATTCTTCCCACAGAGGAAAACTTCTTGCTATTTTTCAGACAACAGCTGAAGTCTTGTGCAGAATTTATGGAGGTGATTCTAAAATCTATATAGAATACTATAGAATAGAATGAATAGATAATACCAAGCTTTGGTTAGCATATAAGAGGCTTCTTTCAAATATTTTACGAAATCTTACTGACCCCAAGCTTTTGAATGGTAGTGTAAATATTATGTCTTTTAAAAAGTGTCCATTTAAATGTAAACACTGAAGCTGATGTTATTCATTTCTCTGACAGGCCTGGAGAAATTATGACGCTGATCACAGTGGATACATAGAATCCGATGAACTTAAGGTGAGAAGCAAACCTTTAACCATTCAAATGGTATCTCTGTTGATGAATTTAACCAAGTTCAGTTTAATCTTGATATTATTATTTTTCCATCTAAAATATATGTTGCTCTGACCTAACCAGGACACCATTACAGCTTTAACCCTCTTTGACCAAAAACATGTACTTTTCAAAAAAGTGACTGTTATCCAGTAGTAACATTTCTGGTTCTGTCTGAGCAAAAACACATTGAAAAAATAGAATAGAAAAAATGTATTGCAGCTATTCATTATCTGCTCATATGCTTAGGAATAAATCATATCAACCAGTTGTTTAAAAGTTTGTTATTTGGGCTAATAAACTGGCCTTCGGATCTCAAAAATGGAAATGAGGGTTAATATCTTTTAGGTTTGGCAGACAGTTATGACACTTGGCACACAAACTTGCTGACCAGCATACTTAAAGTACAATTCCACCCAAGTATCTCTTCACAATCTTGTCTCTAATCAGTTAGGACAACCAAAGTGTAAACCTATTAACAACATATAACTGACCTAAATTGCAAACTGATGCAAATTATCTCAGAAGGCAACTTGTACATTCTTAAAATGTATAAGAGACAGATTCATGAGGTCAATCATAGCAATGTGGGATTACCCACATTGGAGTTTCCCCCTTAAGGGGAATGTGGACTGGAGGGTACAACAACAAATGGAACAAGAGATTTCATTTCCAGATCAACATTAATAACCATATGCAAGCCTCAAAGGGGCTTGTTTAAAGCAAGCACTGAGGACTTTGGCATTTAAAATTAAAATGGGGAATGGTTTCTTTGAACATCTGCCAGATTTGCAGTCAGTGATTTGATGAGTGCAATCTGTTAACACTGGACCGCTTTTGGACCTACTAATGGACCTCCGACAGGAAGAGGAAATGCTGAGAGCTTAGTGAAATATGAATATGTTGCATTTTGGAGACAGCACAACTATACATAAAACAGATAGTTCTGGCCCTTGATGCTGATTGGTCAAAATTGGTTATATTCCATAGCAGTGCAACAGTGCACTTTTTTCAGAAGACTTGGTTACAAAGATTTTTTTCACTCATTTTTCCCTATAAGTATTGTTAGTAAGTATAAGTCTGTTCAAGAGTTATAGACCTTTTGCACCAAAGAAACAAGAGCGCAGCCATCTTTAGACTATTGTCTCTGAACTTTAGTTTCAGCTGTAGCTCTGAATATCTCTATGGCACTGCTGTCCAAGAGTAATAAGCTGGTGAAGTGGATTTACTTATTGTTGAGTTAACGAAAGTTATCACAGGCATTTTAATGTTTAAAGCAAATGTCTTAACGTATCTCAGTAGATCGGGAAGATAAAACGGGCAGTTCATTCATTAATGCGTAAGATCACTGTGGAAATACAAACTGGAAGACAAAAGACAACAAACGCAGCGCTGAAAAGAGGCGATGCTACATAAGGTCTAACACATGAAATATACCAACCGACTACAAGACTGTGCATTGAACCACTTTAATGAGTGTTGTAGTTTTTATACCAGGGGTTCTGCTGCTGAACATGAGTAGGCCTATCTTGAAAATAAGTTTGTAACAAACTTGGCTTGCAACTCAAGTAAACCAGTTGTCACTTAAGAGTTCAGGACACACACAAGGCATGAATGAATAAGGGGACAATTGTATCAGTGCTTGAAATCAGACAAAGAATGGCATAAACAGATTACCCAACAAAGTATATTGATAACACAGCAGTCAAATCAAGAAAAATAACACTTATCCCAGAGTCCTTGTTGAAATAGTCCATGTGTCTTGTCCTGATGTATGAATCCTTAGTCCTTACGCCCCAGAAATGAACCACTAATGTCCAGAAAAACGATAATAATCCTCCAAATGTGATGCACTGGCAAAAATACAAAAAAAAAAAAAAAAAAACCCTCAAGTCTTCACTTTAACATCGATGGGTAATTAACCCATAAATGAATTTTTTCACCAAAGAAGGCCTTCCTCTTACAAGGTGCCGTCCTATCAAAGTAAAAGTCTCTTTTTCCAACTAGGATATTTCTACACCAAACATAAAAGTCCCACATACAAAAGACAGAACTTCAACTAGGACCTGAAACCACTTAAATCATACCTTTACTTATTTTACAATGTTTTATTCACATTTGTAAAATTAAGTATTACTAAAATAGTGTATTTTTCTTAGCCCTAATATAGAAGTGTCACAAGTTGAAAAATTGCTGGCTGATGGTTTCAACAAAAGCATATACCTTTGATTAACAAAATCAACCCCCCCCCCCCCCCCAAAAAAAAAAAAAATTATGGGATTTTTACTTTCGTATGAATCCAGTCTCTTATGCAGGCTTTATTTGTTTAATTCAAAATTGACAGTAAAGCTTATGAATTGTAAATTAGTTCAAAAGAACATGAATTTGAAACAAACAAAAATATTTTGTAATATTATAAATGTGTTTACTATAATTTTTTTATCAATTTAATGCTTCCTTGCTGAATAAAATTTGATTAAAAAAATCTTTACTGTCGCCAAACTTTTGCAGAACTTTTTGAAAGATCTGCTGCAGAGGGCTAAAAAACCATATGATGAGAAAAAATTAGAGGAGTACACACTGACTACGGTAAGTGAACTACAGAGCTCATCAAATAGGCCTACATATGTATTTTGAGGGAATCATTTTTTTTTTTTTTTTACAGCTGAAAATTTTTGATTCAAATAAAGATGGGAAACTATGTCTGTCAGAAATGGCACGGTTAGTGAACTTGCAAATTTCTTATAAATAATTATAATTTGCTATTAACTTTGCACAAAAAATGGAAATATGGCATCTCTTTCTCCCTCTCTCTTTTTTAATTTTTTTTTTTAAACAGGCTGTTACCAGACCAGGAAAACTTTCTATTAAAATTTCAGGTAAATCTGCATTAGTTAACCCATAAATGCTCTGGTTTTACCCATACCCACCTTAAACCTAAAACTACAAATCTTTTCTTCAGGGAGTAAAAATGGCCAGAAAAGAGTTCAACAAGATTTTTGAATTATATGATCAGGTAAGTCTCTTGTATTGAACAGTCATTCATTTTGACAATATAATCATCAAAATACTCTGTGCCCGGCCACCTTAAAATAACTCACCCCTAAACTTAATACTGGTTGATTTTTTGCATTACCAAGCATGCATAGATCAGCCAGAGTGTCTTCTATTGTACGTGAGGCGTGAGGAAAGCAGTCATTAGTATGCAAAGACAGTGCTCTTTCTGGATAGCACCTCCAACACCATTGAAGCTTTTGGCCCAGGCTCAATTGTAATGTATTACTGTGTCCCTGAATAGGGCAAATACCTCACTGCTGATGACAGCACCCTTGATCTTTATTGATTGGCAGGTTCAGGTTGCGAACTCACATAGAGACTGGCTTAAATGCACACATACCCATTTTTGGGCTATTAGAAGACTGTGCAATGATGCGGCATTAGAGGAGGCAGCATATGCTCAAATCTCTGAGGCATTTCATTACAGACACACCGACTGCTGGTCTGCATTTAGCAGAGATGTGGCCACTTACTGTTTGCGCTGGGACAATGCAACAGACTAGCTTGTTCTTTCATCAGCTTATTAAAGGCCACATTATGAAAATTATGGAGATACATGGACTTATTTGACTCACTTATTCTTCATTTAATTTTAGATGCCTCCTAAAATGGTATAGTGTCATAAAGATGTTAATTTTAGATGGAAAATTCTGTCATTTACATTTACCATTAATATTGTTTTTGTTTTTTAGTACAACACAGAAGTTGAATTTTTTAAAGAATTGAGAGGGCAAAAAATTATATATAAAATTCAATTATTATTATTAAAATATATTATTAAAAGTGTATGTGTACACACACACAACTTTAAGGAAAATCTATAAGTATGTGCACTATAATCCAATCTTTTGAAATCACATGATAAGTCCATGTGATTATATATATATATATATATATATATATATATATATATATGATATTACATATGAATTTGGAAAGACATGACGGTAAATAGAAAAGATTGGGGGTGACCAATCTTTTCTATTTGAAACCTTTCCTTTAAATGAAAGCCATTACATATAGTAGCTTTTTCACGAGGACGTTTAAATGTTACAAGTCCTCTAAAGGAAGTTACTGGCCCACTTTCTCTGGATATTATTTTTTCAGAGCACCAAATGTGCAGCCCAAGACTCAGCATGTCATTGCATTGACTCTGTGCAAAACCGATCCTTAATGCCCCGATTTCCAATCTCTTCCTAGAGAACGTTTCATGAAGCATCCCTAATGTCTGAATAGAGAATACAGGAAATGATGGTTAAGTGGCATGACGCTGAGTTTCCTCAGTGGCTGTCACACATCTTTGCTTGTTAATGTTCACTATGCTTGCTACCTCTCGCAGGACAGGAACGGTTACATGGACGAAAATGAGCTTGACGCCCTGCTCAAAGACCTTTGTGAGAAGAACAACAAGGTACGCATCTAATAACCAGGCTAATCTGAGGTTTCATGATTTCATTTTTTCTGAGATCTGTTGATGTATTCTGGATCTCAGTTGAAGCCCATAATGGGCACAAACAAATTTCTTCAAGCAGACTCATAAATGACAATACTAGTCAGAAATCTAATCTTCTGCTGCCACACGTGGGTTGCATACAAATTCTTCACTTTAGAGCAGGACAGAGAAACTTTACAGTATGTAAGGGAGAAAACTACTGTGATACACAACTTTCAATTGAAAAAAAAAAAGGAATAGTTTGGGTTCAGTATAAGTTCAGCCCTAAGAAAACCACTTTTCATAGCACATGCACTGGATGGATGTCTATGGGGCAAAGCATTCCGCAAGTTTTGAATGTTTTCTTTCTCGTGTCAATGTATTTCCTGTTAAAACAGGAAGTTTGAATAAATAGCCAACAGGCTTTATTTACGCTTCTGTGAGCCATGATTAGCGACTTGGTAGTTGGTTGCTGGTGGACATGGAGAAGGACTTTTCATTCTAGAGAGCGTCTTATTTGATAAAAATCTGTGTAGTGTAGGATGTCATCAGTATTTTTTGTCCATTTGCCTGGAAGAGAAAGATTACATTTTAAAGGTGAATATTGTTAAGCTAATAACAAAAAATAACACATATTTGTAGTTTACTACTTTTTCTTGTCCCTTTAGATTTCGTAGTGAACTCATTTTTAAATGTATTTGCTGCCAATTATAGTCTGGAGTCATTAAGACATTTTAATTTTAATATTTGGTATTTATTTGATTAAATAAAAAATTTTATATATTTAAAAAATTGTATTAGCCATTACGCCAGTCTTCAGCGCAGAAATGTTGTAATATCTGTTTTTTAATTAAGTAAATTCATTTACAATATTTTTCAAATGTATCCCACCCATTTTAATTAGATCAAATATATTTTCTGCATGTCTGAACAAAGCCTCTCAGACTCATGAAAACTGAACGTCTAATGCCACACTGACAGACAATAAAATGATCTCTTGACAGGTTCTAGAAGTCAACAAAATCCCGACGTATAAGAGCGCCATCATGGCTCTGTCTGACGGAGGCAAGCTCTACAGAACAGAGTTAGCGCTGGTGTTGTGCGCAGAGGAGATGTGAACGCCTCCATCCGTCCTCGCACCATCTCAGAACCCCGTCCTCAGCTCACCTGTGATGCGTAATGTAGCTAGAACCTTCTTACGTTCCTTCATTTTGAACATGGATTTCACGTAGACAGGCAACCAGTGGCACATACTTTTCAACTTGTTGTTTCTATACTGTTTCTAAATGTACAGATTTTTTTAACAATGACACACTTACAATACAACCCGCACTTCATAGATGAACGCTACATTTCTCTCAACACAAGGAAACCCGAAAGCTACCAAATTCCCATAATGATTTTAAAATCCAAAATATTCACCAACACCTATTCTGCAAATATAAGTATTGATTTATCTAACACTATCATAGGCAAAAGCAATAACGTCCTCAAGGAATGCTGATGAAACTGTTGGTGGGATCTATGTAAAACTCAAAAAGGCTACAAAATATACTTTTGCGATGCATGTTTATATTGTAGCTGATGGCAGGCCCTGCTAGTGGGGTATTTTTGACTGCAAGCACATGCCGAACGTAATGCATCGCCCCAGACCTGTCTTTAATGTTAGATTTTGCACTGTAAAGAATGACATGCTCCTCTATGCTGAACACCACAGACACTGTGTAAGAAGATATTAAACTTATTGAATGACTAATTGTATCCGGTTGTGTCTCATACATCCCTCACTCCCTAGAAATCAGCTTAATATTGAAGCCTTTCATCTGTGGAAAAGTTTTCCCCCATGCAATGAAAGTCAATGGGGTCCAATGTTGTTTGGACCCCATTTCAATTTCATTTTATGGACAAAAACAGTTAAAACATTCTTCTATATATTATATTATCTATTCCAGAGTAGAAAGTAAGTTAGGTTTGGGTCAAAATGAGTAAGATCTCACGAAGATCATTGTGTGGGTTGGTCCAACATATTCAACATGCAAATGTTAGTTTGTTCATTAAATAAAATCATAAAATTGAATGCCTGGTTTGAAATAGTACATGAAAATAAAGCTGGTGTTGGGGAGTTCTGGCAAAAGCACAAAACAATTCTCAGTAAAGTTTCCCTCTCCATTTAAAGTTTAAAAAGATCATGATCTTATCTTATAATTGAACAGTTGACCTTCTCAAAGCGGACACTGCAAGACATACAACTTCTGTCATTGTGAACAAACAGAAACACTCCTGAACACTCCTAAACCTTTGTTTAGTTGGAACTTTATAGCTTGACTGAACTAAATCATCTAGGATAGCCGCATATTGAAAACACATTTGATTTACATATTTTCTCACATCTACCTTAAGTTTTTATGGTTGGAATTTTCGATTAAACACCTTTGAACTGGAACACCAAGAATGAATTGCATTCGAGAGAAATGCTTTTCTCTCTCCAGCGCTGTAGCCGGAAAATTGTTTTGATACCAGATTTCCAATGCCAATTTATGAGCTATTTTATCACCCTGCCAGTTAGTGATTTAGGCTGCCCTGAAAGTGTCACATTGAGGCTAACTGATATTTAGCACTGATGACTTCGAGGACATGTACCCCGGTTTCACAGACAAGATTTAAGAATGCATGTTTGTGCCATTTTACTGACAGAAACTTTCATTGACACATCTTAAAATATATCAGTTCCATTGTTTTGTCTCGAGAAGCACATCAGTAATGTTTTTTTTTTTCTAAGGCACGTTTATAAAAGCCCTAAACCCTAATTGAACTAAGGCTTAATCCTTCTGTGAATCTGTGAAACCTGGGCATTGAGGACTAAAACTGAAATATAAATCAATTAAATCCAAATACATTTATTAAAATGTATAATACTATTTTAAAAATACATATATTATATAATGTATAAACTACACTACCTTTCAAAAGTTTGGGTCAATAAGTTTCTTTAAAGAAATTATTCATTTTAGGAAGCAAGGATGCATTAAAGAGACAGAAAATGCATTTACATTGTTACAAAATATTTCTATTTTAAATAAATGATATTTTTTAACTTTCTATTCATCAACTACTGACAAAAAGTATCAGTTTCAACAAAAAATGTAAGCAGCACAACTGTTTTCAACTGTGATAAGAAGAAATGTTTCTTCTGCACAAATCAGGATATTAGAATGATTTCTGAAGGATCATGTGACACTCACACACACACACACAAATTCAGCTTTGTCAAAGGAATAAATTAGATTTAAAAAAAAATGCTGAAAAGAAAAGCTTAAAATTAATAAATAAATGCTGCCTTGGTGAACATGAGATTGCGGACCTCAAACTTTTGAATGTTAGTTTGTAAAGATTGTTTATATTTATAAAAATAAAGGTATAGCATTCAATGAACAGTGATTCGTATATGATTATCTGTATTACACAAGCATTATAATGTACTATAAACAAGGGCAGGTCAACAAGAAATGATGCAGGTTTCCATAAGGGTACCACACCTGTTTTGTTTTGTGTGTGTGTGTGTACTGCACTCTCAGATGCTGTCAAGAGCCCATCAAAAAAGACCACAAGCAGTAATATAATATAATATGGAACTACTAAAATGAATAAAAAAATTATATGGAGACTCCTTGGTGGGCATTTCAATGAAACCTAATAAAAAAAATCACTTTCAAAGATTAAAAAAACCCTCTAGAGATACAAAGTAATTAAAGCTCTGAAATGCATTTCCCTCAGTTACTGTATTTATCCACTAATTTGTATTTAACCAAGAATAAAGCAAGAAACAATGCAGAATTTATTCTATTTTTGACTACCTTGTTTCATGCATTGAAATTATTTTAGTGTACACCAAACTTTTAATTTGTACTTAGTCATTACATTATAAGGCAGTTGAAAGTTGTTGTAAGATTTCATATCTTTTGTTCAAGTTTAGGTTGACTTTATGCATTCTTTTAAACATTATATTTGTAGGAATCTAATATTCTGTATAAGTCGCAGGGATGACGTCACTTTGTAGGACAACTCGGAAGCTAGCGGCACATGGGTTCCCTCGGTCGAAAAGCAATGCATTTTCCCCATAGACTTTTAGAAAATCGCAAAAAATAAGATCTGTGTTTAACAAAGGGTTGTGACCCTTACACGTTTTGTATAGCAAGATAATCTTTACAAGTTAATCCAAAATTTATAAATTTTGAAGCCTATATAAAGATTTTAAAAAACACAATCAGACACAATAAAGTTTAAAAAACCATAAGTAGGTTATAACTGTGTGTTCTATGTCATAGATCAAAACGTGAAAATATTTAGAGGTTTTGTTCACCACAGACTTTATTTCAGGCGATTTAGCAAAAACCCATTCAAAAATCCCATAGGCTTTAGAGCGAGAGAACCGTAGTGCTAAAATGCTAACTAGCTTCCGCGTTTTGGCCTACAGAGTGACGTCGTAACTTCGGCACTCTATACAAGGGCACTGGGGCAGCATGCAGGCTAAATATGTAACCTACATGTTTACAGCCAACAGAATGTAAATGCCATTGTTACAATGGATTGTTAAGGCATAAATGTCAAAACGTCCACACATTTTTAATTCAATATGGGTCTCCATACTAATAATACTCCAAACAACAATTCCTTACAGCCCTCAAGGTGATAAATGTGTCGCAGAATGGATATTTGTATGTGCCAAGACAACTTAAGTCTCAATTTATACTGTCTACAAACCATATTTCAATTGATCCTCTGTTACACAATGAGAGTCATTAGTGCTGAATTTCTGTGGTTTTAGAGGTTTACGATCCCTTTGTGCTTCTGATCATTGATTCCATCATGGCCCACTGCTCCTTTGTGACCTGGCAAATAAAACAAGGTAAACATATAATAAATAAAGTAATGAAAACTCCCCAGTGTAAATATCCAATTGATTTAGTTTGATTGAGAAAAAAAAAAAATCACCTCCTTCAGACCATTGAACTCGCCAGCATTGGAGACATATTCACCACCATCCATTCGAATGATCTAAGGACAGAGGAGCTGTTAAAGCTGGAAATTTGTCTTTCACTGTGAAAAACATACTAGCTTCCCTGTCAGGGCTCCTCAGCTTTATAAGTAGAGCCATTACTGTAATGCGCCGGACTATATAATTTCATATTGATCTCTGGAGCACTACATTCCCCCCCTAATTCTTCACAAAATGTCCTCTGCAATCCATCACAAAGTGAAAGTAAAGAGTAGTTTGTGCCCTTGTCTCCGTTTGGCTGTAAATGGAGAGGCCCTGTGGGGAAGACTCTAGGTGAGCTCTTGCCCAGAGAGGCGAAGCACTTTTCACGCAAGGTCATCGAACTCACCGCTCCTGATACCCAGCTGGCGTAGTCGCTGCAGAGGTAAGTGGCAAGGTTGGCGATCTCTCCAGGAGTGCCCAGACGACCCACGGGTATCTTTTCTATTAGCGACTTCTCTAACAGGCCAGTGGGATCCAGTCTGCTAAATGCACCCTTCAGAAAGATACTGCGAGAGTTATTATAATTTTTGGAAAACTAAAGCTTTAAAGATAAAAATGATCCAAACTGGATTGAGTCATTGAGTTGAACTAGAGAACTGAATCAGTCTGGTTTTCATTGAAAAGATCCAACCAGAAAGCATTAACAAATATACTCTACACAACAAAGGATGGACAACATGTTCAGAGAAGAACAACTTAAAACATGCACTTTACCTTGGTTTTGATTGGGCCTGGTTGAATAACATTAAATCTCATGCCATATCTGCCCCACTCAGCAGTCAGAGACCTGTAGGTAGATACAATCAGCTCTGTTTTAGGGATGAACATTTTGACCGATAATTCTTTACTTTTGAAAGGTCATAACCAAAACGTTGGCCAATACATCTAAATACAAATTTTTATTTCATTTTTGAGAACCTTGTTTAATTTTTTAATTACAAAAACAAAAGCCATCTCAAGCACACAAATGCATTTTCCTTTTCTGAAGTGATTTCAATCATATTTTAAGCATTTTAAAAACCATCATGGCCAACAGTGTGCATCTCAAGTGTCTCAGCTGAAGGAAATCCATTATTTATTGCCTTTAATATATCGGCCAAATTTTCTTATTGAACATTTTCGGCTGATACAAGTGGTGGCCGATATATTGTGCATCCCTATCTGATTTATTTTAAATTCGGCCCACCTTTTGGGGACATCTGTTCATTCTATCTATCATACATGGCCACTAGTGCTTCTAGTGTAATTATCTCCCTGAGACAGACCTTTTTCCATTAGGTTTATCACACAGCACTAGTGTAAGCACTAGCAAACATGGCAGCTCAAAGTAAAGCAAAGGAAAATGCAATCAAATGGCTTTTATGTTAAGTTGATCTCATGTAAAGAAGGTATACAACACAAATCAATCAAAATTTGTCAAATCAGACAATCAGTAATTTAGCAATCAGCAAAAATTATTTTTGTAGGGTCTAAATCCTGTATACAATAATGCAGTGTCTGAAATCACTACAAATTCAATATTTGTAAGATTAAGAAATTCTTAAAAAATTAATAATAACAATAATAATGCAATATTTAAGAAATAATATTAAGTAAGAATATATTAATTTAAAAAATATTTAAGATTCTGCAGTATTTAGAGCTCACTAATCAAACCAAATGCAAAGAAAAAATCTTGTTTTTTTAAAAAATAGAAACTTTTTTCCACTCAAATCATTGTTCTGATCATTTTTAATGATTTATTTGTATTCAACTGATTCAGACAAACAACTTTTTAATGGAATCAAGATTATATCTGTTAAAAAGCATGATATATAAAATAAATATCATGGTGCTTATACTATGTCATCCTGAAATGAGATATGCTTGGATTTAATTGAGCTCCTCATTCCAGCCTTCAAAAAAGTAAAAAAAAGAAAAAAAGTTTTATTTGAAGTAAATCCTGTCATTGAACTAAACATTTAAGCAGAGATGATATTATTAATAAGCTACTGATCTCTGTGTTGTCCACCTCTCTCTATTGCATTTCCAGCATATTTTACACATAGGATCAAGATCCCCCTCTTACAATTAAAATGTAAATGAAACATAGCCACTGCACCTTCATTATGATAACATATGCAGCCCTTCAGGAAGATTATTAGAAAGGCATTTGACAGGAGGACCTCCCAGGAGGTGAACTACCTAAAAACGTGTCTGTAGTGTAACGGAGTACATACGTGCACAGCTTCTCCACTCCAGCTTTAGCCGCAGCACTTGGCACAACAAATCCTGAGCCACTCTCAGCGTAGATTGTGGTGATGGCCAGAAAAGCAGCACCTTTCAACAAATAAATTCAACAAAATGATCAGTTTCTGGTGCTTTAACTGAGATCAATCTATAGGCTGCAGATCACCTGTGACATCAAAACAGTAAAAAGAGTTTATAATAGTTCTATGTGCATCAAGAATCTAATCTTTGTTTTAAATCAGCATGAAAATGCACAAAGTCTTGAAGGTCAGACTTGTTATCAGCAACATAATATTATCTCTGCACTTAATGGAGTAATTGAACAGTCTGTAATCACCATGTTCAAGGAAGCAGAAAGAGGTCAGAATAATCAGGTGAGAGGCTGGATGTGTGAATCTGAGCAGCTCATTCAACAAATACACACAACAAACACACACATATGACTGAGGCAATGAAATGGAATGATCTCATCTTGCTAGTTGTCATTTTAACCACATACACACACTTGGGTCTTATCGTTGGAAAATATAGTAAATGTACTATAAAGACTAATGATGTCTTAATTTACACATGAATAATTATGCTGCAGTGTACTGGTCCCAGCCAGAAGCTGTTATCTTCACGGAAAACAAAGAGAGCAGAAAACGGCATGAATGCACATAAATTAGCCCATTACAAAAACAAGCTCGATTAGCAAAACAAATCCCACATTTTGACAACTTTGTTATGCCACTTTCCAAAAAGCATTGTTCATGGGATCTGGAAGAAGCCACAGGCAAACTCAAAAGAAAACTCATGCAGAAGACAAATGTGGATTATCTGGACAACTTAGTCACAAGATGTGATGCTGTAAAGTTTTCCACATTTCAATTCCTCACACTATAACATAATTGGCCACAATGTAACTTACAGAATAAAAAGTTTGTGTTCAGAGAGATTTTTTAATAATTTGTGTGTCTTATGCTCACCAAGGATGCATTTTTAATAAAAATGACAGTAAAAAAATACAGTACAGCGTTTAATTGTAAAATATTATTACGAAATAAAAATAACTGTTTTATATTTTATTCTATTTTAAAATGCAATTTATTCCTGTGATGGCAAAGCTGAATTTTCAGCAGTCATTACACAAGTGTCATGTTATTCAAAAGAACAACATTTATTTCAAATATGAATATTTTTTAATGTTATAAATGTCTTTACTTTCAATTTGTATAACCCAAATGCATCCTTGCTTAATAAAAGTATCAATTTCTTAAAATAATAATAATTTTACACTACCTATTAAAATTAAGAAATGTTCAGGGTTCTCCATTTATTGACATAATCTGTGACATCATGCTGTCAGTCATCACAGATAATAATAAATAGTAGGCTACAGATTATCAATGCTTTTTGAGCAGTCTGTAGGATTTATTTGCTTTTACTGCCCTCTAGTGGTGGTTATGTACTCCAAATCAACAACCTCCAGCTAACCAATAACCATACATTTATGCATTTGGCAGAAGCTTTTATCCATTTCACTCACTCCCTGGGAATCAAGCACCATACTCTACTGTTTGTAACACCATTGCAAACTACAGTGGTTCCAACCATGGTCATCATAGGCTATGTCCAAAATCCGAGGGGACAGCCATTTGTAGTGGTGTCTGAAACCATAGTGGACATTATCGAGCGCACTCATTCAAACACATAATACTGACACCCATAATGCACTGTGAGGTCCATTCAGAATAAATTCCCACGCCTCACCAGAAGACGGCGCCCGCAGCTGATCCATACATTCATTTTTCCAAACCAGTGTACAGAGTAGTATCATAAACAGGTATAAATTCCTTAATAAATTGTTTAATAAAGGTTTAAACATGCTAGTTTCGTTACCCCTGGAGCTGCCAATTTAGCACAAACTATACAAAAGCAGCAGCCATTCCGACACACTCAGGGTGCTAAATATAAGCAGATCTTTTTATCATGATTAAAAGTTGAATTACCCTACAACTACTTTGCTAATCACCTTTCTCAGCTTTGATGAGGCGTTTCCCGATGTCCAGCGTGACATAGGCAGTGCCGTTCAACACTATGTCAGTGATGGTTCTCCAGGCATTGGGAGAAAGCTTCTCTGAAGGAGAGATGAAGTTTCCAGCTGCATTGTTTATCACCACCTGGAAAAACAGAAGGAGTTTTGTGTGGAATCTATTGTATCACTGCTGTTAAGATGGAGATCTAAACCTACATCAGGCAGGCCGACATCATTCACAAGCTGGTCAACAGCAGCCTCGACTGAAGCAGGGTCTCTAACATTACACTGGACGGCATGGACCTGAAACATCAACACATTTATCAAACTCTAGGAGGATGAAAACAAGTTCTTCACCAAAAACATGGCAATGTGATTAGATGTGAGAGGTACCTTGTTTTTTGTCTGTTGTGAGATTTCCTCTGCTGTTTTCTTCAAAACATCAAGATTTCTGGAAGTGACAATCGGAGACTTAACTCGACTATTTTAACATGAATAATCATTCACATTCAACACGATTTAAGCTTTTGGATTTGCTTGCAGGGTGTGTCAACAATTATTTAGGAACTAGATGACAAAATTACTGTAAAAACAGTGATCGTTAATATTATTGTTGCTTCTGTTGTAATTTTAAGATGTAATTTATTCATGTAATGGCAAAGCTGAATGTTCTGCAGGCATTACTCAAGTCAAACATCAATGTTGGAATCAGTTGTGCTGTTTAATATTTTTTTGATGATCATATGAGAGGGATACTAACCTGCTAGCTATCATGCACTCTGCTCCCAGTGAAGACAGAGCAGTGGTCATGGCTTTTCCTAGTCCTGTTCCTCCTCCAGTGATAAAGGCCACTTTGTTTTTGAAAGTTCCTGGGAGAAGCATAACACCTTCAGAAGGTGGGAAGAATCTAGCTTGAGGACCATTTCCAAACAACTGTAAAAGAGAGTCATTTTATTTATTCAGACAGGAATATGAGCTAGTATAAATAACAAAACTGGGTGAAAGGTCATAAGGACAATGCAAGTATAAAGTACTTAATGCTTAAGCTATGCATTTAAGGAAATATACATTATAATTAATGCAACATGTCTCGAATGTAGCCTTAATTATGTAAGAAAGGCATGATTTTTACATTCAGTGTGCACAAGCTATTTAAATTTGAATTTACCAAAATGCAAAATGTATACATAACTAAATAAAATTCTTACTCGTGCTGGTGTGAAACACTTGTTTGGAGTTACTCTTTTGAACAAGGCCAGTCCTCTGATCAGCGCCATAACGTCAAAAGAAAAATATATATATATTTAGAGGGAGAATACGTGTTGCAACAAAGTCAAAAGCATACAAATAAACTAGTGAAGTCAGACCATAGTCAGACTCAGTAATGCCTCTGACGCATTGAAATGACTCTACAACTAAAGTCCGAAAATCCTGAATGATATCTTCCGGTTTCCGGTTTTCCGGCTGATCTGAGATCAGCAAGACAGGCTTTTCATCCAATAGCGTGTCCCTAATGAGCTGACAATCAGATCTCAGATCAGCCAATGGAGACGCACACCTCTAGTTCACTCCTGAAACATAACAAACGAATCGGGTCTTTTTTTGTAAATATCTGTATAAAGTATCGTTTGTATTATTTGACATTTTTTCTAGTATTGTTCGTTTTAACTTAGGCAAAATGTAGAATGTCGATTTGTGTAAGGTGGAAGGAAATAACTGTAGTTAACCAGTCGGTTAGTTGACAGCGCGCCGGGGCTCAAACAATCAGGTAAACAACCGTTTATTTTTACATCAGTGCAGTAAACAAACACTACATACGCACACGTATTTGACACATTACGTTTACGTTATAACTGGTAGTTTATATGGATGGAAAATGACAATAATGTAACTATTTGAGTTATTTTTTCTAGCTAGTATTGCTAACAGATATGATGCAGCATTTTATATCCCATGACCCTATCATGTGAATAGACTGTAGGCTATACTGGATTTGAAGATTATACTGAATTTATGACAAAACGTTTCGTGTATTTATTTACTCTAGTTGCTGATAAGTATTAGTAATATTTTTTAAGAGAAAGTAGATTTTTATAATAAACTATCTATCTATATAGATTTGTCTTTTGGGCCAACCATCTCTGATCCAGTGAGATGGGGAACCAGCTGGCTGGAATTGCTCCATCGCAGATACTTTCAGTGGACAGTTATTTCTCTGACATCCATGATTATGAATATGACAAAAGTCTGGGCAGTACACGTTTTTTCAAAGTGGCCCGGGCGAAACATAGAGAAGGATTGGTTGTGGTTAAGGTCTTTGCAATCCAGGACCCCTCTCTGCCCCTGACCAGCTACAAGCAAGAACTGGAGGAGCTGAAAATCAGACTGCACTCCTGTCAGAACTGTCTGCCCTTTCAAAAAGCCACACTTACTGAGAAAGCAGCCATACTATTTCGGCAGTATGTCCGGGATAACTTGTATGACCGTATCAGCACACGGCCGTTTCTCAACAACGTGGAGAAGAAGTGGATTGCCTTCCAGATCCTCAATGCCGTGGACCAGGCCCATAAATCTGGTGTGCGTCATGGTGACATTAAAACAGAGAATGTTATGGTGACGAGCTGGAACTGGGTGCTTCTCACAGACTTTGCTAGTTTTAAACCCACATACTTGCCTGAAGACAACCCTGCAGATTTCAACTATTTCTTCGACACGTCCAGGAGGAGAACGTGCTACATTGCTCCAGAGAGATTCGTGGATGGCAGTATGTTTGCCACCGAAAGTGACCAGACAACACCGCTTGTGGATCTCTCCAGCAATAGCCAACGGACCAGGGGAGAACTCAAGCAACCCATGGACATCTTCTCAGCTGGTATCCATTATATATATATTTTTTTCTGTTTGCTTAAGGCAGGTGCAGTATAATATTATGAAATATTCAAAGACCTTTCTTATTTAATTTTCTTTTGTTAGGTTGTGTGATTGCAGAATTGTTCACAGAGGGCGTCCCGCTTTTCGACCTCTCACAACTGCTGGCTTACCGTAAAGGACATTTCCAGACTGAACAAGTGCTGATGAAAATCGAGGATCACAGTATTAGAGACCTGGTAGAATTTCTATTCTTTTGAGATTCTAGATGTTTTGTATTATTTCACATTCTCACTTTAGGTTCTACAAACTTATATACTTTTAAGTAAGGCATTTATGCTCACCAAGGCTGCATTTATTTGATCAAAAATACAGTAAAAGAGTAATATTGTGAAATATTATTTCAACTTAAAATGACTGTTTTCTATTTTAATATATTCTAAAATGCAATTTATTTCTGTGATGATTAAGATGAATTTTCAGCATTATTACTCCAGTCTTCAGTGTCACAAGATCCTTCAGAAATCAGTCTAATATTCTGATTTGGTGCTTAAGAACATTTCTTATTATTATCAATGCTGAAAGCAGTTGTGCTGCTGAATATTTTTGTGGAAACCATGATTCATAATTTTTCCATGGATTCTTTGATGAACAGGACAGCATTTATTTGAAATAGTCTTTAATGTAACTTTTGATCAATTTAATGCATCCTTTCAGTGTTTTTTGAATGTGTTATTTCTATCAAACAAAATCTTTCTGACTCTACAATAATTATGAAATAATATGAAACTAGTCAGTACTCTTAATTAGATATTACGTAGTACTCTAAATAATTTCATCCACTTTATGCAGGTGGCACAAATGGTGCAGCGAGAACCGGAAAAGCGTCTGGCGGCTGAAGAATACCTGAAGCAGCAGCGAGGCAAAGCTTTCCCAGAAATCTTCTACACCTTCCTACAGCCCTACATGGCCCAGTTTGCCAAGGAGACCTTCCAGTCTGCTGACGAAAGGGTGTTGGTGATACGCAAGAACCTGGAGAACATCCTCAATAACCTGTGCAGTGGCGGGCAGACTGGGAAGCAGGAGAAGGCATCTCAGGAGCTTAGTTCATCCAAGGAGCAAGGGCTGGTGGTGCTGGTGTCAGTGATCACATCCTGTCTGCAGACGCTGCGCTTTTGCGACTCCAAACTGGCAGCTCTGGAACTGATCCTTCATCTGGCAGGCCGGTTAAATGTGGAGATTCTGCTGGACAGGATCACACCATACTTGCTGCATTTCTGCAATGACTCGATGCCGCGTGTCAGGGCCGAGGCCGTTCGCACTCTGACTAAAGTGCTGGCGTTGGTCAAGGAGGTTCCTCGCAATGATGTTAATATCTACCCAGAATATATTTTACCTGGGATTGCCCACTTGGCCCAAGATGAAGCAACGATTGTCAGACTCGCTTATGCAGGTATTCTTTCCAGTGCTAGAAATCTCTGGAGAAAATTGTCAAAATTTTCTGCCTTTTAAATGTGTAACTGTATGTAAATGTGTTTTCTCAATCCATTAAGTTTCTGGTTTTAAGTGACTATATATATATATATATATATATATATTACAGAAGTACAATGGATTATGAAAAGGGTTTCATATTAACTTAAAAATTATACTACATTATATTATTGTTCAAAAGTTTGGGGTCAGTAAGAGTTACTTTTTTATAGAAATTATTCTGCAAGGATGCATTACATTTAACAAAAGTTTTGCCATCTCAAGAATAAATTACATTTCAAAATTGTTATTTTAATTTATATTTCACAATATTAATGTTTTAATGTGTTTTTGATCAAATAAATACAGCCTTGGTGAGCATAAGGGACTTATTTCAAAAACATTTCAAATACTGTATCTTACAGACTTTAAACTATTGAACAGTAATGAATGTTATATTATTATATTATATTTATAGAGAACATAGCACATTTGGCTGAGACAGCACTGCGTTTTCTGGAGCTGGTGCAGGAGAATAATTTGAGCTCTGAACAAGACCTCAATGGAGAGGATACAGAAGAAACTCTTCACCCCAATGAAAACTATGATTCAGGTAAATGTGTGTCCTTCAAATAAAGCTCACTTTTATTGTAGTTTTGAAACAAGGTTAATTGATATTGTCTATAGATTCCACTTTATGGACTCAATTAATAACCAGTTTGCATGAAAAGTTTTTATGCTATCATTAAAATGCTGTGGATATGATCCATCTATTGTCCATAGAGCTGCAGGCCTTGCATGAGATGGTTCAGCAGAAGGTGGTGACTTTACTGAGCGACCCTGAGAACATCGTCAAACAGACGTTGATGGAGAACGGCATCACGCGCCTCTGCGTGTTCTTCGGCAGACAGAAAGCCAACGACGTCCTCCTCTCCCACATGATCACCTTCCTCAACGACAAGAATGACTGGCACCTCCGTGGAGCTTTCTTTGACAGCATAGTAGGAAAGTTGCCACCACAGTCGCTTCATATGAATGAAGGCAGTCTCTCGCAACATGGTAACCAAATCTCCTCTCTGCAGGTGTAGCAGCCTACGTGGGCTGGCAGAGTTCCTCCATCCTGAAGCCTCTTCTGCAGCAAGGCCTGAGTGACGCTGAGGAGTTTGTCATTTATAAAGCGCTCAACGCTCTCACTTGCATGTGTCAGCTGGGGCTACTGCAGAAACCTCACATCTACGAGTTTGTCAGTGATATAGGTCAGAAAAACTCTTTTATTCATAGTCCATTGTATAATGTGCTTCGTAATTATTGTATAGCATTTCTTATTTAAAATGTTACTATCCAACAGCACCTTTCTTGTGTCATCCCAATCTGTGGATCCGCTATGGAGCCGTGGGTTTCATCACTGTGGTCGCTCAGCACTTAAACATAGCTGACGTCTACTGCAAACTTATGCCCCATCTCAACCCCTTTATCACTCAGCCGATTATACAGGTGAGGTTACATTAATGTGGACTCTGGGTCTAGTGTATCATATTAGTTGTGCTTTATTTTCTTGTTTACGCGGAACACAAAAGGTGAGTTTTAAATGAATCTGCTGAACATTCTTTTAATATACATTACTGTGATAAAATTAATTGAGGACTGTTGTGGTTCCAAAGAATCACCACAAATAAGGAGAGAACAAATACATTTACAATGCTGAAAACTGCACTTTTACACATTATTCTTTGAATTAAGCTGAAGTTCGGCCATTAACAGCTATCAGCAACAAGACAAGCCACCTTCACAAACACGAAACCGACAGCTTTTGTAGGGAACGAATAACCTGTGCACCGCAGTCACTCCCAATCACGCCGCAATCAGCCAGTCACCTGCAGACAATACAGACGCAACACACATGCACACAAGGAAGGACTGACATCACAGGACTATCATAAAAATAGTTAATTTGACCGAAAAACAAAAACAGACCTAAGTGTAAGTTATTATGGCCTGAAAATTCTTTAACCATTAACCTTTTGTTTCACGGAAGAAATGAAAAGGCATGCAGATTTGGAT